CCCTGGGTAGAGCCAGCGTACAGAGGAAACACTGAGAAGAGCATTAGGATACCTCCAACTCAAAGTATTTTTGGAGGAGGCAGTTACACCTCGATGTAACTCCTCTGTTCAGCCTGCAGCCGGATGCCAGATAATTGTGCCACATTTCTGAATCAAAAGCAATTACCTCTGATTTCCACTCGGAAAGGGCTTACTCCAAATAATCTCAGCCTTTGGAGAAAAGCTTCTCTGGCAACCAATCCTCTTAGGTAGCAAAGTGGTTTGTTTGAGGGCCTCCAACTGAAGGCTGTCCCCATTTTTCTTTCTTTTTCAGAAGAAGAAAGGCATCTGCTATCAGAAACTGGCCGATTTCAACAGATGTTCACCCCTCCGACGATACAGACCATACACTCTGCTCCATTTTGATTTTAGGATCGAAACAGATTGCCTTCATTTGCAGGTATCATAATCTTTCCCCATTTTTTTTTTTTTAAATAGGGCTGCAGAAACCAACCAAGAAATTCAAGGATCTTAGAACCTCTCAGAAAGTGAAGGATTGGTGGCAGCAAAGAACTCCCTCCCCAGGTTCTCTTTTGGGAAACAGATGTATTGTGTTAGGTGAGGGTAGTTCTCCAGTTTCCAAACTGGTCCACTATTCCTCCAAGACAGAACTATCTTATAAACATTATTTTTCTAACCTTTTATTAATGCTAATTCAATTCTCTTCATTTTAAATTCATCAGGAGAAATGCCTGAATATAGATAGATAGATAGATAGATAGATAGATAGATAGATAGATAGATAAAGATAGACAAATATATAGTCTATATATACTCCTATTTTTATTTAAAACATGAACTGAAATTTTGACCACCGAAAAAAGAGGAAGCACTGTGATAATAGCAAGCGTCCAAGACTTATGTCAACATCTTTGTATTGTGCCAGTGGCTATGGTCTGTCCATCTGCTTCAAGTGATTCTATCAACACCTCTCCGTGTTTCACTGGATTTTTCAAAACCCAAACAGGTGTTGTAACCAAGATGTTAAATCTGTTAAATGCTCATTTTACAAAGATATTCAGCAATGTAAAAGGAGGGATGCCAACAGGTTGCTAGCTAGAGGACTGCTGTACTATGTCCATGTGTTTCTTCATCTTTCCATCATATCTGACAATTCACCTATGCTCCTGAAATTCTGAACATACAGAAGTCTTTAGGCCGAGTTCTGACCATGTAAGATGACATTACTAAGAGATGATTTCAGGGAGGCAGCATAATGTAAGCCTGTGTGAGTGTGTGCACCCGCAACGCTCCTTTTTAAGCATCTTCTCAAAATTCTTTATCTTCATTCCCATGGATTTTGTTCACTCTCTTTTTCTGATTTTCCCTTGTTACAAGGAATGGTAGCTCCTTGTGAATTGCTGGGGTATGTTGATTATATGGCAATGGTGTTGATTAAGAAAATGCTCAAAGTGAATTCTGGAGAAAAACAACATTTGATTACATTGTTTCATGTTTTTTCTTTCTTTTCCTTCTACAGTCTTCAATCTGAGGTGTAGAAGATAAATTGGGGTGATTATGACGGCTTCTTTTTTAAATTATTAAAGGGAAAATAGGACCTTCTTCTTAGCTATCCAGAAGACTGATGTAATACTACTCTTCATTTCATCTTCCTGCAGATTATCCTTCAAAATCTAATTGATTATTATTACTTTGAGACTCAAAAGTATATTTTTAGCGACGGTGTTAACATTTGAATGTTTTAAATGACTAAGCTGTCAATTTTTAAACTGAAAATTATGGCAAGGACCAACATCTTTCACACAAGAATCATTCAAACCATTATCACATTTTTTGTGTGTGTGCTTTGCTTCTTCTGATGCTGAACATTGCTTAACATTCATGACTCATGACTATGAAGGGCAATCTTTGAATATTTAAGGCTGGATGGCTGGATGATCAGGGCCACATCTTGCAACACAGAGTTCATCAACAAACGGAGCAAACAAACTTGCAAATTATAGTTCTGTAATATTAGAATGACTCTCATGAACTTACACGCAGATTGAGAGTTATTAAATTTTCAGCATAAGTATGCATGTTCTATAGTACCATAAAAGGAAGCAGTAATTTGTGGAGAAATACCATAACTTGCAAGGTGTCCGTAAGAATTTATTTGTGCTGACTTTAGAGCACTGCATTTGTAAGTGAACAAGTCCATCATGATAAAGAAAGGAGTTATATTATTTTAATATGTAAATTTTAACCAGCTAGCATTCCGACTGCTACTCTAAATTTGTGGCGATTAATAATATACATTATTATTTTTATGGCTTGAATTCTGCTGTTATAAACTGATTTTTAATGGGATAACTTTGAAAGCCAGATAGTTAATGCTAATGTAATGAATAAAACAGTGTGATTATTAACTTTCTATTGTACACTTGGTATGTCTCATTAGAGGTTCCCTAAATAAATACAAATTATTAGAAGAAACTTACAGTTTTATGAACTAAAAGATCTTCTCCTGGTCTACTTCAGCATTTTTTACAAGGTTTTTCATTGCAACTCATTTGCATGTAATTGTGCATTCACATGATTAAAACTTTCTTTAATGTCAAGGTGAAAGTGCCCGTCAGATTACTTCTGATTAGAAATGCCATATTACATTAATTTCTGATTTCCTGAAGAGGAGCTGGAAAGAAATCTCAATAACTCTGAGCTGGATGGTGGACACTATAATTCAGTAGATACATCAAATGCTTACTACTTTGGACCCCCGGAATGGATCCAATCTTCAGAAGCCAAAGCCACTCAAACATTAGGACCATGAAGGACACATCGAATGAGATCCTTCAGCATGTCCATTTCTAACACCAGAAGACATTTAAAAGTCGCAGGGGAGTTCCACATCCAACTCAACTCTCCACTCAACTCCTCTTACACAGCTTAGTCCAGAAATGGGCTTGCTGGGTTATTCTCAGCCTTTCGGAGAGCAGGAAATAACATTGCCGTTGTATCACCGCCTGTTACAGACAGACAGACAGAGACACACACACTTTGGAAAGTCAAAGTGATTTTGCAGGTCACTGCAGCATTTCAAGCAAGAATAGAAAGCAGACCAAATTACCTCCCAGCAGACAGGCAAATAAATAAGTGTGCACCTCGATTTCTTGTCGGTTACATCTTGAAACCTAACTCAGGAGGAGGCATGCATTCCTGTCCTAAGAGAGAGGTTTTTTAAAATTATTACTCCTAAATTAGGTGAGGGGAGGAGCCCTTATCCACATTCAAGAATTCGAATCCGAGTAAGGGTATGGCTAGCTGATGAGAGCTAAATAGCCTGAAATAGATCTATACTAGTCTCCCTTTATTTCTTTATCAGCAAATATAAGTTTATATATATGTATATCTCCCATATATCCCATCACCCGGTTCACGCCCATAGAGAGGGCCTGCTCAGGGTGCCGTCAGTTAGACAGTGTTGGCTAGCGGCCCCCGGGGGTAGAGCCTTCTCTGTGGGTGCGCCCACCCTCTGGAATCAACGCCTGACCTTCGCAGCTTCCGCCGTGAATTAAAAACTTGGCTTTTCAAATCCCTCGACCTGGACTGATGGGGTTTTAAGAGTTAAATTTTAAATTTTTTAGATTTTATTTTGTATGGTGGCTTGTGTTTTTATTATTGTGAGCCGCCCTGAGTCCACTGGGAGACAGGGCGGCATATAAACCGAATAAAATAAAAATAAATAAAAAATAAATATATTTATTTATTCCTAGTTGTCTCCAAGGTGACTTCCTCCCTGCCAACACACACACACACAAAACACGCCTTACACACCATCCAGAAGCCTCAGAAAGGGAAGATCTGGCCTAAGTGGAAGGAAACCCCAGAATCCCCCCCCACACAAAAAAAAAGACAAGGCAGACAGAGAGACAGACAGCGCTGCCTGCCCAGCCCAGAAAAGCAGCGCATCCATCCATCCATCCATCCATCCATCCATCATCTGAGGCGGCTTTGGCCTTCCAAGGCTCCCAGGATTGGCTCGCAGCTGCTGAGGGGGGCCGGGGGGGGGGGGGGGGCTGGCGATCCCTGGCTGGGAAGAGGCCGGGCTGGGCGAGGGAGTAAACGGGGAGGCTGGGCAGCTGCAGCCCCGGGGAATCCTGGCTGGTGCCTTCGCCCCGGTTGCCTCCTCCGGCCCTGAGCCGGGTGGGAGTCAGAGGCGGCCTCCTCCCCACCTGAGGGAGGGGCGCCTGCGGAGAGCGGGGGGGGAGGGGCGGGCACGCAGAGAAGGGGCGGGGGGGGCTGAAGGGGGCGGGCCCCGCCTGGAGGCCTGGCCGAGCCGCAGGGGGAGGGTCTCCCCTCAGGGCCGGGGGGCTTCTGCGGAGGGCAGGGCGGGGGGGGGGGGCAGAAAGCGCCGCGCCCACTGCTTCTCTCCCCCCCCCCAACTGGGCCTGCCTGCCTGCCTGCCTGCCTGGGCGGCTGCGGGGCGTCGCGGGCGGGGCACTCACGATGGTGACGCTGGCCTTGCGCAGGTCCCGGTTCTCCTCCTGCAGCGCTTTGCACTTGAGCTTGTAGGTCTCCAGCTCGATCTTCAGCACCTTGTTCTCCTGCTGCAGCGAGGCCAGCCGGTTGGTCAGCTCCTCCAGGCGGAACGGCGAGATCACGATGCCCGCCGCCTTCCCGGGGCCCGACCCCGGAGCCCCCGCGCCCGGCCCCGAAGAGCAGGCCGCCGCCGCCGCCCCCGGAGCCCCCGCCGCCGCCACCACGCCGCCGCCGCCGCCGCCGTCCGTGTCGCTCTCGCTGGCGCTGTCGGCCATGCCGGCCCGAGGGAGGGAGGGAGGGAGGCCGAGCCAGGCGCCCTTCTCGCTCCTGCCGCTGCTCCGCCTGCCGCCCCTGCGCGGCCCCGCCCCGCCGCGCCGCGCCGCCTTCCGCCTCGCGCGCGCCCCCCCGCCCAAGAGGAGCGCCGCCGACGCCTCCCGCCGCGCCCACAGCGGCCCCTCCGGCGCCCTCCGGCACTGCAGCCTCCAAAGGAGTCCCTTTCTCCGCCCTTGCCCTCTTTTAGAATCGTAGAATAAACAAGGTTGGAGAGGGACCTGGGAGGGAGCTGAAATGTAGTGATTTTATTTTATTTTATTTTGATTTATTTTTATATGCCGCCCTTCTCCGGAGCTCAGGGCGGCTTACAATGCGTTAAGCAATAGCCTTCATACTTTTGTATATTTTTATACAAAGCTTATTGCCCCCACAAACTGGGTCCTCATGATATGCTACCATCATGTGTGGAGATGCTATCATCGTGATCTGTTACCAGCGTGACAGCGTGCTGCTGTTTATTATCTACTGCTGTTTTTGTATGGTAAGAAGATTTTTGTATCACTGGACTGATTTGACTGGCAAAGACTTGGATTGTTTAAAGACTATGAGATTGCTTTTCACTATTGTTGTAGAATGATGGAACCAAACAACATTCCTGGGTCAGCCAGAGACTGTTTTTATTGCGCAAGGTTCAGAGGCAGATTGGTTCTTGCTATCTGAACAAAGGAAAGAGATCTAATACCCCTGTTTTATACTTTTCCAAGACAAAGGATTTTGCTAGCACAGCAGTTTTCCATATATGGTTAACATACATCCATTACATGATAATTGACATTTCCTAATTACTAAATTCCTGCCCTAATTTATAGTACATGAGATAATTTTAGCTAAACATCCTCCTTAGTTCTGTATCCGCTGATGCGTGGATTTATGGCTTCCTTTGATAATAAGTAACTTCTTGTTCCATATGGATGTCCTTACATTCTTGACAACTAGGTTCTTCAGAAGATATATATATATATTACCCAGGATGTAATTTAGCTGACTTAGTGTAATCTTCCAAACAAGTATTGTTCTTCCCAACCAGCACATTTCTTTCTTACAATAATGTGAATAAGGAGGGCCCTTCAGTGCTCATATAGCTGATCCTGCATCATTCACATTACTATAAAGTAAAAACTTTGATAAACCAGTTTGTATGTATTTTATTCATTGCTCTCAGCACCGTTTCCCTGTGCTCTACACTCTGCTGGTTGGTTAACACAACAATATCCTTAACATCTTCTAGTCCAACCAGCGGGTGGGATTCAAATTTTTTGACTACCGGTTCTGTAGGCGTGGCTTGGTAGGCATGGTGTGGCTTGGTGGGCATAGCAGGGGAAGGATACTGTGAAATCTCCATTCCTTTCCCACTCCAGGGAAAGGTTAATGCAAAATCCCCATTTCCACCCGATCAGCTGGGACTTGGGAGGCAGAGAATAGATGGGAGCGGGGCCAGTCAGAATTTTTACTACCGATTCTCCGAACTACTCAAAATTTCCACTACCGGTTCTCCAGAACTGGTCAGAGCCTGCTGAAACCCACCTCTGACTCCAACCTCTGCTTGAGCGCAAGATCATTATGGAATGACAGAATAACAGAGTAGGATGGGACCTTTGAAGTCATGTAGTCCAACCAGGGGTGAAATCCAAATTTTTTTACTACCTGTTCTCTGGGCATGGCTTGGTGGGCATGGTGTGGCTTGGTGGGCGTGGCAGGGGAAAGATACTGCAAAATCTCCATTCTCTCTTCACTCTCGGGGGAAGGATACTGCAAAATCCCCATTCCCTCCCCACTCCTGGGGGAAGGATATTGCAAAATCGCCATTCCCACCCCACTCGGGGGCCAGCCAGAGGTGGTATTTGCTGGTTCTCCGAACTGCTCAAAATTTCCACTATCGGTTCTCCAGAACCTGTCAGAACCTGCTGGATTTCACCCCCGAGGCCAACTCTCTGCTCCAGGGGGAGAATGTTACAGAATCACAGTCAAAATGGACCTTGGAGGCCATCCAGCCCAGAGGTGGGTTTCAGCAGGTTCTGAACAGTTCTGGAGAACTGGTAGTGGAAATTTTGGGTAGTTTGGAGAACCGGTAGTAAAAATTCTGACTGGCCCCACCCCCATCTAGTCTCTGCCTCCCAAATCCAAGCTGATCAGGAGCAAATGGGGATTTTACAGTAACCTTCCCCTGGAGTGGGGAGGGAATGGAGATTTTACAGTATCCTTCCCCTGCCACGCCCACCAAGCCATATCATGCCCACTAAGCCACGCCCACAGAACCGGTAGTAAAAAAAATTGAATTCCACCACTGATCCAGTCCAATCCCCTGCTCAACCAGCACAGCCTTAACAGAAATATCCTAAATTCTGGCTTTCCTGGGGCAACAGCTGGCGGGGGGGCAATGTTCTGGGGCTGGTGGGTAATTCAGGCTCTGGTGGTCATCTTTCTATCCTTCCGGCCTCATTTGTTGACCGGGACTGCCGGTACCAAGAGCCAGCCTTGCTCTCCTTACTTCCTAAGGCAGATCTCACCATTCAAGGTCACAGCCTTTCCCATCAGACAAGCTGGAGCATCCCAAAGTCCCCTTGGGGGCTGGCAGCAGAGGGGAGTCTGTGGGGAGACCTTCTGGATCTGCTGGACACATCCCCCTCCTTGACCCAGGCGACCTCCTGGGCTACAGCTTACCTCGTGGTCTCACAGAGAGCGGAATTTTAATTCAAAAGCAGAGTTTAAGTGTGGTGTAAGGCAGCCTTTCTCAACCTGATGCTGTGATCCTCAGTTCCCAATATTTCTAACTAATAGACCTGGAGACCATAAAAAAAAATACATGGGTTGTATGAGCTGGAAAGGAATAAGCTACAGATCTTTATCCATCTTCTCCACTAGGTACAGGGGTCTCCAACCTTGGGAACTTTACGATTTGTGGACTTCAACTCACAGAATTGAGGAATTCTGAGAGTTGAAGTCCACAAGTCGTAAAGTTCCCAAGGTTGGAGACCCTTGGACTAGGATGTCGTTGTGCTTGGATACATCCTTGACAAATTCCCCCTGGCTTCTGAGATCACCTGTATTCCAAAGTGCTCACAAATAGGGTGCCTCCTCCTCCTCATTTTTAGATACCGAGACTACCTTTCTTCTTCTCTAATCTGGCACCTCTGGAGTTTCTTAAGATTATAGTCTGCACTTCTTCCAGCTACTTCCAACACCCTGAGAGGCATTTCAGATCATGGGAACATTATTTACGTTCAGTGGCTAAGGTTCTTAGGATACCTCCTTTATTCCCCCAGAAGTTGGGTTCCCTTCTCTTCCTCAGGCATCTTAGCCATGGCTCTCTCCCTCTTCTGATAGAAGAGAGGCATGAAGCAGCCCTTCCCCCATCTAACTTTTAATTTATTTATTTATTTGTCAAGCATATATAAGATAACAGGTAAAAGTATAAACATAATTTGAATACATGAAAAGAGTAAGAGTAAAAAGGAATATTAGGACAGGGACGGTAGGCACGCTTGTGCACTTATGCATGCCCCTTACAGACCTCTTAGGAATGGGTTGAGGTCAACAGTACACAGTCTAAGATTAAAGTTCGGGGGTTTAGGGAAGAAACCACAGAGTCAGGTAGAGCATTCCAGGCATTGACCACTCTGTTACTGAAGTCATATTTTCTGCAATTGAATTTGGAGCGGTTTACCTTGAGTTTGTATCTATTATTTGCTCGTGTATTGTTGTGGTTGAAGCTGAAGTAGTCATTGGTAGGAAATTGTGGCAGATAATTTTATGTACTACATTTAGGTCAGACCGAAGTCAGCATTGTTCTAAGTTATCTAAGCCTAAAATTTGAAGTCTGGGGGCATAAGGTATTTTATTGCGGGTAGAGGAATGGAGGACTCTTCTCGTAAAATATCTCTGGACTCTCTCAATTGTATTTATGTCTGATATGCAGTGCGGGTTCCAGACAGATGAGCTGTATTCGAGAATTGATCTAGCAAATGTTTTGTATGCTCTAGTTAGTAGTACAATATTTACCAGAGAAGCTACGCAAGATTAGGTTTACAACTCTTAATGCCTTTTTGGCAATGTTGTTCAGGGGGCTTTGGTTCTTAAATCTTTAGAAATGAGTACTTCCCTATGGAAGAGACCCTCTTCCATCCCAGGCCTTCCTCGCCAGCTCATCCTTTAAGTTTCCTGATATAGGTTCCCACTATGGATGGGTAAGGCCTTTTCATCTCCCTTTTGCTTTTTTAGTGTGTCCATGAGGGTCTCTATTCATCTCTTAAGCTTTCCTCATTTCATTACACTCATTTCTGCCTGCATTTTCAAGGCCTGGAACATTGCTCATTTAACATGTTTGTTAAAATCTAGCTTCCTGTAGTCCGAAGTACATAAACTGCTTCTTCAAATTCTCCTCGCTGAGGTAGCTTGGAGGCCAGTGTGACATGGTTATATTGACATCTTCAGACTGTCAATCTGAGAGCTGGGATTAATCCAGAATCGCTGACCCCCTTGTTTCTTCTCCCATCTTCTGGAGGGAAAAACCCCATTGTTTGCAAGAAAAAATTTTTTTTTCTTCAAGTCCCATTTATTCCCATTGGGATGTCATCTTTCTCCTTGAAACCATCCTGTCTCCCTCCCTCCTGAACAGATGCTCTACCCTCCTCAGAGATTGTGTCCTGCTGGCCTTCATGAAGATCTGTTATCTTCTCTGACCAGTCCTTAAGAAGAAAACATTGGCCTCTGGACTTTCACTTTCTCTTTCAGCAAGGAGAGAAGTTTGCATTTGTATGATTAGCTTGCCTTTCTGGTTTAAGACAAGCACAGCACACCTAGTAAATCATTAGTGTTTCCTTGTGCCTGTCTTTTCAACAGGATATGAGACTAATTTGCTGCTTTACACTCCCCTATTCTTACTAATTTTCCTAATCTCCACTCTTCCAGTTGCCTCTCCTTCTTCTAAAGCAGGGCTCTGCAAATTTGGGAACTTTAAGACTTGTGGACTTTAACTCCCAGAATTCCCCAGCCAGCCATGCTTGCTGGGGAATTCTGGGAGTTGAAGTCCACAAATCTTAAAGTTCCCAAGTTTGGAGACCCCTGTTCTAAAGAGTACTGCTGCTAAATGAGCTTCTCCTTAAAGAATATTGTCTCCCCATTTGCTGATTACGTGATCAGTGAGTCAGCTTGAGTTGTCAGCCTCCCCCCCAACTCCCCAGTAACTCAACAAAGAGATGAATGTGCCACTCCACAGAATCTGTCAGTTAATTCTCCCCAAATTTAATAGATCATTTTCACTAATCATCAGCTTGCAAAATACTTCATTCCTCTCTCTGGCTCAAAGAGCTTGTCTCATTCACTCACCCCAGTCTATGTTTGTTTGATGAATGCACGTTTTCAATAGCTTCAAGATAGAAATTAAACAGTGGTCCCCTATATATTGATATTTGTATCAGACATGGAGAACCCCTGGATTTTAAAAAAGTTGGACAGTATTTATTAATAATCATTTTAGACCTT